TGCAGTGCATTGGCGTGACATGGCCTATACATTTCTTTAATTAATTCAAATTTGTTTAAAAATGTACCAAGAGAAAATATTAGCCTTCAACGGCAGGAAAACAAACAAAAATAAATGTTGGGGACAAGGTGCCTGAAAGAAAAACCTTATTTTATTTGGTCATTATCACTTTTACACACAGCTTGTGTCATATACACTATCATTCATAGTAATGACCGCTCAATATGCTGCCTTTGCTGTAACATGTTGTCGACATTAAGTCACCTATGCTTGAAAATAAATGTATAAAAATTGAAAACAAAAAATTAATTTCCAAATATTTTTTTTCCTCAGACATGCTAGCCCAACCCCCCCCCCTGCAATTAGCAGTCAAAGTATTTTAGCCTACATGCTAATGCCCCTCTGGTTTTAACATTGTCCTTAGAGCAGACGTATGTCCCTCTGAGCACTCTGTTGAGCTGTCTGTTAAAGGTGACTCCAAACTCAGGGAGAGGGGAGTCCACTCCACCTCTTGTGAGAGTCCTCCGTTGCATCTGGCACGCAGCCAGATACCTCGTGCTTGTGTGTGTGCGCGCGTGTGCGTGCGTGTGTCACTATGGGAGCAGGGGCCCACCATACTCGCGTACACTGTCTGGAGTGGACTATCCGTGTAAACACAGCGTCTTCTAGTGGTCACCACAAATACTGCCACATCTTAAAATGGCCACTGGACACTGCAGCACGGCAGCACCCCCCCCCCTCCACCTCCTCACCTCCAGCCAAGGCCTCACACACACGTTTGTTCCTCTATCCCTGTGGGGACCCAACCCCTAACCATCACAACTACATGCCCAACCCTAACCCTAAAACCAAGTATTAACCCTCAAAAAGCATCTCCCCAACAGTGACACGACCCATGGGTTAGTGTGCACTGAGGTTAAAGTCCCCACTGGGATGGAAAAACATGTCTCACACACACACACACACACACACACACACACACACACAGGTGCCACTGCAGTCACCACACAGGCCTGTTTACTCATTATCCCTGTCCCACAGTTAATCCATAAACACACTGCTCTGCCTCACTGCTGGCAGAGGTGAAGTAGTTCACTGAAGTGCATTTGATCCTGTGGTTAAAAAAAACAAATGTAGAGTTTGGCCCCTGGCCCTGCAGTGAGAAATGCCTACTGAAAATAAAGTGATGTGAAGCCTACAAATCAGATCACTCAAGTTTTATTCACAATATACAGAACAATGAATCAAGTCAGACACACCACAGCCAGTAGAAAATAAATCTAATGAGAAACCAAAATATATCCTTTATGAGCAGAGAACCTTTCAACACTATACAGATTAAATACAAGTTTCCTCAGAAAGCTGACGATAACTGGTTACAGACGGCAGATAGTGTTTCAGCACTTCAAGAGTGGAGATTATTTAATTTAAGACAAACATAACTTTCATTTCCTGACTGAGCAGCTCTTTGTACAAACATTTAACATTCATATGGATCGTGTGTGTATGCGCTCTGGGTTTGAGGGATATAGATTTCAATATAAGGCCTTCGCTGAATTTAAATGAAATATTGGACCGACTGAGGAAAAGAGCTGCCAGACCATTACGTTTCAACAGCCCGCTCCAGGGGAGTCAAGAAGGGAGGGGACACAGGTGACACCTGCACCTGCAAATATTTCACTTATATCAGGTCCGGTGAGGATTTTAACCCAACTTCACATGTAGGAGGTCAAAATGCAACTGCACGGTCATAATACCTTCACGTCTGACTGTGCCGATTGTCAAAAGCCCCTTATCTCTCCTCAAATGACCTTCAATTTCAAAGTCATGTCGGCTAATGTGGGAACAGAGTGGAAAGTAGGAAATCAAAATTTATCAACAGTTTCTGTTCTGTGCTCTGAGTGTCAAACTGTAACCATCAGTGTAAGACAGCAATGATGACGATAAATGATTGGACAAACTGGGGCCCTGGAGAATGAGAAGTCAAGGGAAGGGGCGGGGCCTTCGGGCTAGTCAGCTTAAGCGTCTTTCTTTTTGATGATGAGTGGCCCAACGTTGTCCCCAGTTTCCTCGTTGTGTTTGGTGTGGGCTCCGTCGCAGAAAGGGAACTGCAAGGTGAACGCACAGTGTTGGAGGAAAAGGTTAGGGTCCCCTGATAGGTTGATTAGTTTTGAATGTCCAGTTACTCAAACAACAAACTGAAGAGCTACTGTGAATGCCTCCTAAGTAGCTGCTGAGGGTACTGACCTTCTTTGACTTCCAGCAGCGGCAGTACACAGCCTTGGTGCCAATGTCCTCCATGTCAAAGCTGTGGACCACTTTGGGACTATCTTTACTGATGGACGTGTTTACCTGGCCCTTTTTACAGCTCCGCCCTCTCAGGTAATGGCTGACCAGGAAACCTCCGACAGCTGCAACCACTGCGACCGGCACTGCGACCACCAAATGCTCTGAAGACAGACAGACAGACAGACAGACAGACAGACAGAGAGAGAGAGTCATGGTGGGCATATGGACAAGTTATTTTACCAACACAATACACCTGTGTCTTTATTGCTTGGTAAAATAGTTATAGCCAGTGTTTCTTTATCCTACAAAACCTGGGTGGACAAAATATTAAAAACAGCCCAATTTAATGCAATTCAATCCAGTTCATGCAGTGTCAACAACAACTGAACATTATACACAAAAACAGGGTGTACTGTTTGCCTGTTTTACTGGATTGCATTACAGAGGACAGGTGTACACACGGATTTCTTTGCTTCTGTTGGTCAAGCCTCTTCAAAGACTTAAAAAACATGCAATTCATATTTTCATATTTTATTTGCTGCACTGTTTCAGTCTGTTGCAGTTAAATAGTATCAACTTGTGATATCAATTTCAACTGTTTCAGTTTGGTGGTGTATAAAAACATAATTTAATACCCTTTTCCCCAGCTGAGAAGTAACAAAAAGGTTTTGCGGCTTTAGATGCCTCACAGTTTTGTCTAGTTCAGAGAACCTCCTGGAGCAAAAATTAAATCTCAACCTCGCCATGTAGCATCATCAGAGGCAGGGTTTCTTTAGGACAGGGCCTGTTTGGATACAGAAACATCACTTGAGGTGGTATGTGTGCTGTTGCTTTGTTATTTTGACCAGGAGAATGGAAATTGCCCGCTTCTGCAAGGCAATGATGAGGATTATCCAGGTCGAGCGAGTATCACATGATGTCGAGTCGTAAGACAAGAGGAACAGGGGCCATACCATCAGTCTGGATCAGCAGGTTCGGCGATTAGCCAGAGCGGCTAGAGGCCACGCTACATTAACATACTCTGAATGTGACGGTGGGATCTCCTCTAAGTATGGCTTTAGCTGTCCAAAACTATATGGGTGACCGTCGCAACATGTAACGTTAGCTGCGTTCAACACAGTTGACTGGCTAGTTAGCTAACGTTGGCTAAATGGCTGTTAGCCAGCTAAGGAACGTTGACATTGCAACATATACGTAACTAACTTTAGAAATGAAGTTATAATTTTAAAGCCTGTGCAATTAACTTACTAGAAGTAGTTGGCATACAACCGCGCTGTACCCTACAAATATCTTTGGCCGTAACGTTAGCCGTGAACTTACTTGGCTGGGGTGACGTTAGCTCGACATGTTAACTTTACATTAAGCGGCAGACGAAAACACTCCCAGTAGCGCTAGCATGCTACTAGCGAGCTTTAACACTTTACCTTTAGAAAATCGGAATCCTGAGCTGGACAGTGCGGGCAAACTTTGGGTTGTCATGTCTTCCCTGGACGGTGTGTTGTTTATGGTCACCGCTCAAATAGCAAGGTCAGCCAGAGAGTCTTATCTAAACTCGGTCCTCTCCAAGCAGCGCTCTGTCTGCTACGTCACTGTGCAGCAGCCAATGAGGTCTGAGGAGCGAGCGTGATGTTCTGCCAGAGCAAGAGGCTTCCCCCCGAACCTCCAGGGTCCTTCCGGCTTCGCTTTAGGGCGATTTGAAGACTGAACAGCGACAGTCCGAGATTTGATCCATCTATGCATTTTCTTTCCCTATATAGTTAAGATAAGTGCTTCACACTAACATTTAAGAAGACCTCGTGTTCACGTGAAATCGAGTATTTTTTCCTTTGATTGTGAAAGTTAACTCTTGACCGTGGGGACAGTAGTTTGACTAGATACATCTTATTTCCAGGTGCATTTACTGGCTTTCTCCGGAGTTTTCAACCACATTTCAGTCTCCGTTTGCGAATTGAGTTTGCCGAGTTGCATGTGCCTCAACGGTCTCACTAAAGATAATGACGATATGGATAACTGATGCTTTAATTAAGCTGTATGTAGCAGATGTGAACTAGCTTGCTATGTTAGATATGTATTTCTTGAATAGTTAAATTGCATATTGCACACTGTCTGGGGCACGACAGTTGATTCCAAAGGTTTCAAGACATAGACTGAGGGGAATCATCTTCATGTGTGGGCTCTTTGGTGAGTCCCATTTCCCCTCCCAACGTGACATTTTTCTCTTGAATGTAAATACGATGAACCTAAACAACCCTTTCTGGATTCAATTTGAAAGAAAATAAAACTCAGTTTCCCTCTTTAGCGACTAATTCATACATGGACGCAGAATACTTTATATAAAAGCACCAGAGGGCGACACAACGACGTACCACCATGAAGATCAAAAAGTGCACTGTATGAAGGTGAGGATTCTGCAATTAATATAAATCAGAAAACACAAGTAGACAACACATATGGAGCTACATCTCCCACACACTTCCAATCATTCATACTGAACAATTTTAAAATCCTTTAAGTTTCAGTGAAGTTGTACTTAGTTAAATCGCTACCAGTAAATTCTTTGTCTATCAAATAGAAGTGACAGTGTGGTAAAGGCAGGTATTATCATCCTGTCAGACTCCTGTAAAACTGGGTTACAAATGTGACCTGACTCCCCATGTCCTTTTCCAACGTGTGCATGTCCTTCAAAAAGGACCTGAGAATGAGTCACAACACAGGAGTCATGGGTTTTTATTACACAGTTTAATCAACACACAAAGCTCAACGAGCCTCTCAGGTAATTCAATATACAGAGGTTTTGTGCAAGAAGAGTGGGTTCTCCTCGCACCCAGAGCCCAAGCCAGTCCCATAGCCATTTAAGATGTTAGCCTCTAATTTAACAATAGCAAAAAAAAAAAAAAAAGAACAAAAAAAAAAACACAAAAAGAAATAAAAGCAACCTAAAGAGTTAGGGGGAGGGGGGATAAAAACACAGGTTAAACTAAGAAAAATAAATTGCTTAAATATACCTGGTCCAGAACCTCCACTTTGTGAATAAAGAAAAGTTGGTGGTAGAGGTGGGGGTGACATTTGTGCGTGCATGTGTGTCTGTGTGTGTGTACAAAGGGGTCATCTTGGGTAAGGTGGGGTGGGGGGAATAAATTCAAGTCCTTTCACAGAATCCAACAAAAGACCAAAATAGGCCATGTGCATTTTTTTCTTTTACACAGCCTGCAATGATTTCTTTAACGTATTTATTGTATAAAATACAGAGTGCCCTTCTACTCGCGTGAAAACTGCTTTCATGAATTGTCACTTCTACAGATGGGAAATACAAGGACAACAAAACAAGGGGTGCAGAGTGTAAAAAAAATCCCTCCATCTCCCCATCCCCCGAAACAAGTAGGGAAATAAAGAGAGGGGAAAAAAAACAAACAAATAGGTCCCCTCAAAGTTTACAGATGCTCAAAGGAATGCTTTTAGTTATTAACGTCTGGGGAAGGTGCATGAGGCTGCAGCTGTGTGTAGGAGAAAGGGGTAGTTGGGGCGGTCGCAACAGCCCAACCTGCATCGTGACAAAATGTAATGGAATACAGAAGTCAGGAGATGCAGGGCTCAGAGGTCACAAGGGAGGGAGGAGGTGAAAAAGGAGTAAGGAGAGATGGGTGTTACCATTGCAATTTGAAGATATGTACACTGGAGGGTGGGCAGGTGAGGTGAGGACAGGGGGAGGGGCAGAGTCAAATAGAGAGAGGAAGAAGAGAGAGAAAACGTAAGGAGATGGGGCAGAGGGAGTTTTACAGGTACTCTGGTGAAGGGGAGGCGTGGCTCAAAGAAAGCACTCCAATGGAAACCAACAAGATCTTGTTTTAAACTTTTCATTTGTTTGAATGGTTTTTTGTTTGTTTTCTCTTTACGTCTGAAGCTCCCCTAATTTTACATCGTAGAGGTGGTTGGCCATGATTTTACCCCCAACACTACATTGCATACTTTTGTGTCCATTCCCGAGCTATTTTGTTGTACCTGTGAACAAGCAGACAGAGAGAGGACGTGGTTAGTTGTTTAGCCTTGTACGGACCAACATATTAGCATTTTGTAACATCTTTTGCAACAAATCTGTAGGGTATTTGCAACACCATTAATCATTTTATTGCAGTTGTTCATGTTTATTAAGCTTGCTGGTGCATGACCTAACTACAGAAGAGCTAATAGCCACAGCAGAAAATGTGTGTGACTGATACGCAGCATCATATCCAAGTGGAGGACACAATAGTCAAATAGCTATGTTGTAAAACACTTCATATAATAATAACAAAAAGACATGCTATGTTTTCTCGTCATTGTACACTAGCGCTGGACAACAGCATATAAATGTTCACATGCCGAGTCTTGTCTCAAAATGACCCAACTACAGACCTGTGATGGAATCGGAGGACAGCGCTACGACTTGGATGCACAATAACTTCTTTGATTGTGTGATAAAGTGATGTTTTCATATCAGGGATGATGAACATGGGCATTCAGTGCGAGTCTTACAGTTAAAACATGAGACCCGTGTAGCCTGTGGCAGTCCAGTGTGGAGCAACTGCTCTACAGGTAAGCTGGGCTCTAACTGGGCGGACGCTGTGAATAATACATTTTTCAGAGTTGGAGGAAAGGTGTGTTGAAGAACAAATATCAGTAAAAATGTATTTATAAAGATTATTTGATCAATGTATCACATTTTTGTATATTCCAATTTTAAGCAGGTGTATTTGGAGCAGCCACATCACAGATATCAACTTTTAACTACAAAAATAACATATTCAAGTGCAAATTGAACTGTGGCAACAGCAGCTACATTTCAAATGTGTATGGAGACTAAAGTTCAGGGAAATCCTGTTATTATTAATGATGTACGTCGTGTTATCTGACACTTCACGTTTTGATCGTCCTTTCTGCACGGCCTCTTTATTGCTCACACTGTACGGATTAACTGCCAACAACGACAAGGCTGTTCACACTGACCATAATCACGAGAACCCTGGTTAGTTTTGCCCATTGACAATTCCAATAAAGTTTATTCAAAAAGACAACAGAGTCCTCAACAATGTTGACAAAAATCAGAGAAAAATATAATTACTTTGTGCAATTCTACTATAAAGAAAACAAGAAAAAAAATGGAGCCGCAGACGCAAGATGTAGACAATATGGTGTCTGTTCTGCAGTGAACTTTTATGTCACAGCAGACCAGTTTGAGCCACAACACGTAAATAACTCCAGTTCTATTAAAGCCCGCTCATCACAGCGTGTAACAGATTACCCTCCCCCTATTCAAACTGCACGTCAAGTGACAAATGTTCTGGCAGAAATTAGGCCTGGAGTTCTTCAAATGTAACAGAAATTTGGTTAATTCATGTGAATTTTGTCAAATTGTCAACTTTTGCTCCCTGCTTTGTGACTGCTGCACACACGGTACGGTAGTTCTGAAAGTCAGTAATCATTATCACGATGGTGCTTCTGTCCATCAGTAGCCAGTTTGTGACGCTGACTTTGATAAGAACAGGTTTTTGCACAGCTCCACCCAGGCCGGGCGGAGCCTTGACAGACTTGAAAGGCTGGTAACAATCATGTTGACAACATGATGCAGGAAACAACATAAAAAAGAACATACTTTTCCCTGTCCGTCTTGTAGATGCGGGCGATCTCGGGTACTAAGGGGTCATCCGGGTTTGGGTCGCACAGCAGAGAGCAGATGGACAGGAGGACTGGAATGGACCAGGTGAAGGTTAGGAGTTAGCTAATCAGTTTTCACAAAAAAAAAAACATTTTCAGAATTTCTTTCATTTTCCTTCAAATGACCCTTGGATGTCACGGCTATGGAGCCGTTGATAATACATGTAATTGGGATTTTTTTTTTTAACTCTTGTGCATGAGGGACAACATTTATAAGCATGTCCGGTAATAACCTAGCAGTAAATGAAAAGAGCTAAACCTGACATTTACAGAGATAGCTACACAGACCTCTGCATGAGAAATGTTTGTGGGGAGCATTTTCATAACAAAAAAAAAAAAAGTTCCTTCATTCTTAACATCCTGTTTATTGAGCCAGTGGGGCATCTGCCATTTATCTGTAACCATGTGTGCAGTTAAACATCTGAAGGTCAGTAAGAAACAGCCTACCTTTGGAGATGGTGAGAGCTGGAGACCACTGTGATCGCAGAATGTCAAGACAAATGCTGCCGTTGCTGTTGATATTTGGGTGGTAGATTCTTGTGGTAAATGCGACCTGAAAACAGACAGAGAGAAAAGAAATGCAGGGGGGAGGGGGTGAGAATGAGGGGCAGATGAGAGGAACAACAGGAAACCGAATGATGTAAGGCTGTGGCATGTTTTAGCAGGCAATAGGGAACTTTATGTGCCTCACTGTTACTTTATGTACGTTGCTCCGTTGTATGTTTTCGTGCGTCTACATTTTGCTTACCTTTGGCGGTTTGAAGGGGTAGTCTGTGGGGAAGTGTATGGTCAAGAAGAAAACCCCGCTCTGGTAAGGACTGTCATTCTACAGTCAGGAGAGAGAAATCCATTCATCTCATTAGTGAAAGGAGTCAAAGACTTCAGGAAAGTAAAAAAAATAAACTGTCACGTGAGTTCCCAGCACAAAAATTGGCATATATTAAGAAAGTGAATACTTACAGGTCCCATTATTGTGGCTTGCCAGTGAAACACTGAAACAGAAACGAGAGAAATTGGTTATGAAACACTAAGAACACAATGTGTGTCTGGCAAGTGTAAATAATTCCACATGAGGTGTGCATGTTTATTTGTGCAGTTGAGTAACAGGCTCTTACATAAAATGCAATTCAGGACAAATATTCTTGGAAACAGGTTTTCTTGTTATTATTGTAGATTGTAACGGGTCATAATGGCAGTAGCCTCACATTTACACTCAGAAATTGCTCCTTCAATGAATAATATCAAAAGTGCTGCTTATGAGGAAATTGTTACGCTGATCATTTAAACAAAGGCTTGGACAACACAAATCCCGAAAACAAAAACAATCCATCAGAGTTTGATTTGGCAGCATTCACACCTTTCTAATTGAAACATCCCGTTGAGGTCTGAGGACAAATGTTGCAAAAAGTAAACCACAGCAATGATGTGTTCCAAGAAACACTTTCTCGTTTCTTATAATAGAGTGGTTTATTTGCTGTTGGATGACAGGAAGCGACACGTCAAGAGCGACATTGCTGCTACTGATTTTTTTTCCCCACAGTGCCACACGCGCTAAAAGATGCACAAATGTTACAAATATGTTAGACATCACACATGAAACGAGAGTAAAGATGGTTATTAAGAACTGATTTCCATTTTTTATGAGTTCTGCATTGTCAGATTTCTGGTTTTAGCTCTGACACTATCAACTCCTCTTATGTAAAAGTACGCACATTTCATCAAAACGATTTCAAGCAAGGACGCCAATAGCGGTTGAACATTTGTTGGCAATGATACTGAAATAAAAAAAAAGCTGTGTTGGAGAAAGCTTACAAACAAGTGGTGCTCCCCCTCCAGCTAATGGCTTGCATTAGCTTACATTGTATTCATTGCCCTTCGGGGAACATCTTCAAACGTGGCGTGATCATATGTGAACCTGAAATAGTGATACCTAAATTAAAAATATTTTTTCCAAACATAAATATGCACAGATTTCATCTATTTAGGAGATGTCCGACTCAGGTTTAACAAAGTCGTTATTAAGCATTGTTGATTTACTGTTTCTATCATTATTAATGCAATTAAATCAATTAGTACTCATTGAAGAAAACATGCTAAATAAACATGCAAAGATTTGGGAATACAAAAATATTCGTACTCAAATTGCACAAGTAACGAGTATCTTTACACGATGTAGTATCGCAGCCGCTTCACCTGGCAGGAGTTGCATGTGTCACAAACATGTAACAGTGGGGTGTGTGTGTGTTGGTCCCTTGAGGGCCCCAGGTGTTTCAGTGGTGATAAGCATCTGCTCAACCCTTTACAGGCAAATGCAACCTTACTGATCCTCAGCAGGTTCATGTCAACCTTTGTAGACTACAGGTACGTTGTGTCATTTGCAAGAGGGCAATGTTATGTTCAAATGCGTGTGTGTACGCTTTATGTCCGCTTTCTTTCTGCGGAATGACAGATCTGAGCTTATTAGCGACATGCTACTTACAGTTAGCTGATGTCACCGGAACAAGCTTCTGCTAGCTAAACGGCTAGCTGACGAGTTACACATGTTGACTGTTAGAACACTAATGATTATGATGAAACATGAAATGTTTTGTAAAGGGCTCTTTCATTGGCTAATTACTGTTAGTTCAACCAATCAATTCTACTCTACCAAATCTGAAGATGTTTTTTTGTTTCGATTCTAATGTAACGTTTGACAATCGGTGATCCATAATGGCAGCAGGCAGCATTTTTTTGTGGAAGAAAGAACTCTGCATTTAAAATAAAAGTGTAATACTATGTTTCTGAAATGACAAAAAAAAAAAAAAAAAAAAAAAAAAAATCAAAAGATAGCTGATTGAAGTGAAGGTTAAACAGAACTAGACTGTGATGTGAAGGCCATTGTTTTGATTCTAACATGCAATATGTGATGAGCAACAAGTTGCCACTCTTCAGACAGGAAAGATCCACTGCTTCATGTTTAGGTTACTTACGGTCAATGATCAGGAAAAAACGCTCAGAGAACAGTAACGCACCTGTCAGTACAAACACCAGCTCATTGACGGCTGTTTGTTGTGGATCACCAGAGCAGAACAACAGTCGTAAAAATATCCACAAATGGAAATGAAATGAAAATGATATAAAGATGAAATTATATATGCTAGTTTATAATCTCTTTGCCTGTGCATTGCACCATATTAGGAAAATGCACACATCTTCTGCATGTTTATGTTTATTCTTTGGCCTAAAGCCTTTTTCCGAGTCCTGTGACAGATAACTGTGCTGGCGTATACAGGGAGGGGGCTGACACAATCCCCATAGCACTTATATTCTGTCCTCCCTGTATACAAGTTAACTTGGGGGGTATTAAAATAGATTAAGCTTTAAATGTAATGCAGTGGACCACAACTCCTCTCTGAAGAGTTCCAACAGAAATGATCATCATAACGTTCACAAAACGTGGTCTTTATCATAGGACTATTGTACTGGACTACATCTGTATAGGTGTTCATGATATTGTTTGCACACACAACTACATTCAAAAAACATAACCTAAACTACTACGGTATGCTTATTACACTACAGACAAATACGCCCCAAATCTATTGTAGCTTGATCAATTTGAAACAATAATACAAACTTACATAACACACACACTTCAAGTGACCTACATTACAAACTGAACATATGTAATTGATCTTCTTTAGCTTCCACAGTGCAAGAGGGGTAAATTATCTTTATCAAATGTCACAAAAGGTGTACACACATTTCTACTACATGTGGCTAGTGTGTTTATAATAAGGTAGCTGATGAATAGCCATCCCACAGTCATTCAGATAATATCATTAACCGGCCAACATCCTGCATGAACAAAGGGTGACTGGTGGACACCCTATCAATTTTAGCCTCACTAATTATCTTTAAGCCTGCTGAGGGGAATAATTTGGCTCCATAAATCAATTTATCAGTGTCCACTATTTATGGCAACCAGGAGTTTCTGATAACTTCATGGCACATTTTATGCATTGAATACCAGGTAGGATTTCACCAGTGCCATTTCCTCTTAATAATGTACAAGTGTAACACTAAAAATGGTTAAAAAACAACAAATAAAACAAAAATCACACAGACCATCCACAGGGTGTGAAATCGTATCCGTTTACGAGTTGAAAAATTGACTTGAAACAAAGATAAAAAGGTTTTTAATGTCTGAATTTACTGTCCTCTTTCGCTTGTTCATAGAAGTTTCTACCATGAAAGACACACAGCGGAAGTCACAGCGTCGTGGAGATGGACAACGCACTTTAAAGGCTGTTGAGAGATAAGCGAACAACAAGAATATCGAGGCAGAGACACAGGTGGCGGGATGTTACAGGGAGAGCTTTGAACTGCTGGTAGCACAAGACACTCTTAAAACAGACCACAGACTTCATGGGCTGCGTACAGTCCGCACACAGACAGCAGTTATATACTGCTAAATTTCAATAACTTAATAAATAAACAAACATGCAACAGTTTTTCCATTGTTCTATATTTGATAGCGTATATGGTGTAACCGCGTTCACGCGCATTTTCTTTAGTGATAATTTCAGAGGGTCATCTATCAGATTACAATGACAAATTTAGAAGCTAACCTGTTTAGATGGAATTATGTTAATACGCAATAAATTCGAGAAATTTAAACATTTTATTTATTTCTCTATTTTTAAAATGTATTAATTTCTGTATTAGACAGTAGCCGCTGACACAAGTAAGAAAAAAAAAAAAACTCTGCTTTCCATCATTCTACTGACATCCTTTAAAATATCTACAGTATGCCTGAAAAGGTACTGCATGTACTAACAGAAAAGCTAAGTTCATGAATGCCCTCTGAGTTTTATTTTTGAATCAGTCTTTATAAGGAAATCTGAATGGATTAATGAAGAAAAATCTGTCCCCATTTACTCCTACATTACAAAACAATAAAATACTAGCCAGACGAGAATTCCCCTTGTATTTGCCCTGAAAGTAAAAGTGAAACTGACACGTAGCAATAGAGTTGGGAATATGCTTTTATAATGAACCATAACTTTCACAAGAGGCAGGCCAAGTATTTTCTGGATTGCAGGTTAAAGGCTAAATGTACATAGACTGCAATTAATAAGCAAATAAGACATTCCTTTTTGTGTCATTGTCGAACTAATGAATATTTATTTCTGCGGGTTGAGTTTTCAATTAAATGATCTTGCCAAAAAATGGGAAGGGTAAACCTGGAATTTGTTCTGAAGTACTGTTCAATATTGAGCTCCAGTCACACAGAGCTACCGGAGCTGTGTCGGTTTCGATGCTGAACTTACTGTCATCTCCTACTGGTCCTGCAGAACACTGGGCTGGTGGGTCCCGTGCCAAGTCGTTCAACTCCTGAGACAAACAAATGACAAGTCAGTTGACCGGGTCCTGCAGTATTTCATGTATTTCCTTAAACAATAACCTACATTAACAGGAACAAAACACCTTAACTGGAAATGGCAACACGAAAACATTGCAACAACACTTAATTCTTGGAAAAAGATCTTTAATAATCCGCAATTAATATCTACTAATATTTGGACGGGTATTTTTTTTTATTTCACATAACAGGCCCAGAATGAGCCCTGTGTATAGTTGACTAAACTGTTTGTAAACAGATCTGAAGGCGGGTGCCAGACGGTGCCAGTGCAATTTCTACAAAGTCCCAGTGCAATAGTAACAACCCAGAAACTCAATTCCAGCTGACACAACATCACTACAGCAGCACCATGAGCTTTGATTACTGAAGTGACCGCTTTACGTAACCGCATTTCTCCAGGTACAGCAGGTAGTGCGTGTGACAGCCAAACTGATATCACGACGATATGACAACAGAGTTTTACTATAACTAAGACAAGCCGGCAAACTGAGGCTAGGTGTGTGTGTGTAGCTTAGTGTAACGTTATAGTGCAAACATTAGCTTAGCGTAAATGCTAGGTGGTCAGGTTAAACAGCGCTGGATGTCAAGTGACAGAAATATTATGCTGGCTGGTCAGCCACATCACGACATGGGCTAACGTTATTGGGGGGGGATAACATCAATAAAACAAAACAAAACACACCATCAAGCTAACTCATATCAAATAAACGGTGTAACACCGATCTGCTGCTCGCCTGCTGTCAGCAACATGGCATCAAACGCGATCAACGCGTGGGGCCTGTTTTTAACCATAGCGACACACTGCTAACATCACCAGCGTTTCCTTGTGTTATATATTGCTCGTCTGTCTCGTGAGTCGACGATTACAATGTAAAATACAAACTACAACACGCATACTTGATCATGATTCACGTTAACGTACTTAAATTAGCTCCCAGTTGTGCATAACGAAGACAATTTAACGTAATGAAAAAAAAAACAGGGAACAGATCTACGCTAGCTTAGGTTGCATCCATCCACATCTCTGGTCTGTTACATGTCTACCGTTTTAACGTTACTTCTGTTATTTATTCGACTACACAGAAAAGAAAGAGCAAATTAGCTACCGTTAATAAAAAAAAAAATAAGGGCGAGAGTCCTCTTAAACTAAGCTAACGTTGGAGTTAACGTTACCGCTAGCTCGGTAACTTATCTGTCAAATCAAGCAGCGATAACGTTAAGTAACAATAAAAATAACGTTAGCTACCTTAACTACAGTACAGGAGAACTACTAAGGAGATACCATACAGCTTTAAACCCTTAAGAACTGAATCCACTGTGTCTTTACTGCAAAGAAATAGCGTTACTGTAGTAGAAGAACCGTTTAGCTTGTCCGAGTTAGCCAACCACCGGGACCGATAACGTTAGCCAGAGACGGCTAACACAACGCTAACATTGTTAGCTAGTAACCGGCATAGCTAGCATTCCGTTATACCCAGGATTAGAAAATAAAATCATAATGAATTAAAGCTATCGATGGTAAACCTTTAATTAAGAGCAGTTAACGTAAGTTAGTTGTATGTCTAACGGTTCAGTTGGCCCGTTTGTATCGTTAGTAGCTCTGGTGAACACAGACAGGCGGCGCATTGCTGCTCTCACTGTCGTCACTCGCTATTCAGAGACCGTTAGCTGGCAGTTGAAAACAAGCCCGAGGTATTAAGTCAATATTTTTAAAATATTATACGTTTATTACACTCGACAACAAGCACCAGATGGCCAACATTGGAAGTAAATCCCCAACGAAACTGCGAAATCCTGGGCCTCGCCGTTCACTTCCTTACCTTGTGAATTCTTTTCAGAGCCATTGTTGTGCTAGCGGTTCTGTCAGGGAAAACGTGCAATTAAAATGGCGATTGATGTCACTGTCCGTTGGTAATACTACAACTTAGTTTTCATAGAACACCGTTACTGTACACTCAATTTACTGATCGCTACCAGAAGGAACCACCGATAAAATCTCGACGCGAAACTGAAAGATAGAAGGGGTAGAACCGCGGTCCTTCCTCCTACTGCAGCGGCTACCAAATCACTGCGGCCTGTGATCTGCCAGCAGCAACAACGACAACACTTCCGGACCAACTCTTCACAATAAAACAAAGTGTTGTGCCAAATTCTGCATGCACGCCGAGAATTGCATGCAACTTGGCTCATATATGCTGACAAATATGTATGCTTTTTGCATACAGCACTTTGCTGTACATTGAGGACTCTAAACGTTCATAAAATGTATAGCCTACTTCGAATCATTTATCACCATTGATGAACCCCATCAAGAATATTATAGCGTTTAAACCTAATTGCAGGCCCTCAAAATCTGTCACACTGTTCACAATCTTGTCCTGTACTATGTGTAATAATAGGCTATTTTAAACGCTGCACATATTGAATATTGTCCCCACTAAACAACGCAAATTGGGATGCAAGTAACCATTATTACATCATAGAGCAATCTGATGATTATTGTCTCGATTAATTGTTTCGTTTCTAAAATGTAAGAAATAGTGAAAAATACCCATCACATATTTTGTGTACCCAAAGTGACATCTTCAAATAGTAGCTGGCTTTGACCGACGGAAAGCCTGAAACCCCCACACATTCAGTTTGCAATGGTATAAAACAGAAGAAAGCAGCAAATCCTCACATACAAGGAGTCGGACCACCGAATTTTTGGCACTTGAAAAATGACTTAAACGATTCATCATTTATCTAAATATTTTCTCGACTAAATTGACAGTTTCACCTCTATTACATATGACATTTTTATTCATTTTTGTGAGACCAATATATTATGGGTAATTAATTTAGCGTATATGGCGAAAATACAAATAAATCACCGTCACATTAACATCACCCTTTTAATTCTGAAGGCCAGCCGTGCAAAGCGGAAGTCTTGTTGTTGCATCGCATCTCTCACTGCGCTACCACTAGAGAGCCTTCCGCCGACATGTGCACGTAAAGGGCTCACGGTGCACGCTGGTGTAGTCCTGCAACTGGCTTCATTGCGGCTCCGTGCATGGAGCGGCAAGGATTTGTTCACATGGTCCGGCGGGAGCCAAAATGTCTACCCAGCACGCATTTTGCATGAGGTAAACTCCTGGGAACCTGTCCTAAAATCGTTTACTAATACGGTTTAATGTCATTAACATATTTACAGACTGTGAACTGGAGATGGTTAGAAATGCTCCAATCCGTTGGCTACATTTATCGATATACTTAAAATGTTAGGGGATAGATGAAGTACACACGGGTTTGCTCAGCGCGGAGTGATATGACTACAAAGACTGTGGTCTCTAGATCGTGGGTACAGTACACATTTGGTACGTAATCCTGGTGTAAGATAGACCTACAGTACAGTATTACAGAATTTTTCACATATATTTTTCTTAACTCTGTTATGTGCTGTAGGCGATGTCACTGGGTGTCATATTCGTGTAACATAAAATGCTCTGTTTGTTTTTTTCATTTGCGGGTGTGACGTGGAGCCGAGGGATTCCCAGCAGATTTGAGGTAAAGGTGTGCTGTGTACGGTAAAAGGTGGGCAAATTACTGAAAGAAATTAAAGAAATTACTTCAACGTCCAACCTCGACCTCTAAAATTCTCAGCACATCTCCACGAGAGTGAAGCCACAACACAAAGTTTGAAACAACTACTTTATTACAGTGATGGAAACGCAAACAACACCCAATGTCCTATCCATAGTCTGCTCACCTGCATACACTGCCATACAGAGAATTACACAATAAGAATTTCTTATTCGCAAACTCATAAACATAACGCATAAGAGAAAAGAAAAAATAATAAACCCTATAGTTATGTTCACATTATCACAGCAGCCCAAACAAGACTAAAGCAGGACATAAATGCATTTCATCATTAATTTATTTAAGAACACATATTAATCTATAAGGAGACATGCAAAAATGATTGACTCTATACTTTAAAGCAAATGATTGAACCACGTATTGTCAAAAGCAAAATAAACCATCCATAACAAATATCAGCATTGATCTTTTTGCCATCTATACATTTTGCTAAGTTCTGTGGAGCACTGTTGGCTGCAGAAACTCTCACAATTTACTCATTTCACAGCAAATACAACAGTCTTTAGGCTTGCACTGTAGCATTTGTCACTGGTTGTTGTGTCGTAAGCCTATTACACTACAATAGGCCTACCGTATAATAATAGGCTATACACATGCCTTACCTCTCTTCAACTGCACAGAAGTTAACGTAATATTTAAGCTGCTTTTATCGTTTGTCTCACTGAGGCAGATTTGCATGCAGATTGCACCTGTTCTGAATTGATGCCCTAAGAATGTTTTCATCCTTCATATTTGTTCCCAATCAGTGTGTGGACAGTCATCTAATGAAGCAAAAACGTTCCAGTTAATTAAAGATGTTCATTGTTGAAGAATGGGCCTGTCATGAAATCTTCTTCTATTGCATGGTTAGAACACAATATTAGTAGCATTTGTTGTGGTAGCAGTAGTATGAGAGATCTAAAATTTCATACTGGGTGTACACACACTGGGCATACTCACACACACACACACACACACACACACACACACACACACACACACACATATATATATATATATAAATATATATATAGCAGTTATAGTTAAGTATGTTTTTAAGTTTTTTAATTCGTACACACACACGCACACACACACACACACACACACACACATATATATATATATATATATATATATATATATATATATATATATATATATATAGCAGTTATATTTAAGTATGTTTTTAAGTTTTTAATTTGTGAGAATATAGAATGAGATCCAGATTTCTTCATAAACATTCAGTTTACCTCTGAAAGTATGTGATAGTTTTTTCCCAGTTTCATGCAATGTGCCACATTTGTAAACTGTACACCAGTGTTTGGCTTAATAGTAGTTTTCCCCCAATTCAAAACAGAAGTTAATTTTACTTTTAATACACATGTCTATAAGCGTTCACTCCTTTGCTCACAAATGAAAAGATGGAGGGTAAAAGTGAAACCAAAATGTCTGAGGTTCATCTACATAAATATATACATGAGACACCTAGACTGAAAATATCTGATGTAAAAAGACGCCAGTAGTAGTATTTGTAGCATTGTAATTTTGACAGTGATGAACTACAACTTATTCAATTAAAATGCAAAAAACAACTGCATGACAAAACAAAACTGAGAAAAAACATTTCAGTTTTTGATAGTGAGGGACCAGGAGATGAAGAAACACAATAATCTGACAATAATTCAGAATCAGAATCAGAATCAGCTTTATTGCCAGGTATGTGTTCACATACAAAGAATTTGACTCAGGATTGTACATTGCTCACGATGTGCTTACTCATACAAAAATACAATAACACAATAATAAAATAAATCAGACACAGACTACAGTATAGACAACACTAATATACACACTATGAACAAAACAATATAGACATATTGACAAATAGTGCAGTGATCAGAGTGCAAAGGATGCAAGAGTAAACTATTATTCTCATTATGTACATGTTGAAGGTGGATATGATATACAGATACACATACACATACATGTACACATGTACACAGTGTGATGGAGCATAGTGCAAAGGATGCTGGAAAAAATAAAAAAGACCTATGACCTTATGACCTGAGGTAGGTGTATTGGTATGCAGAATATACAATATGACATAGTATGAACAGCACTGAAATAGAGAATGGTGAATAAATAAATAATAGTAGTAACCAGTAAACAGGTGGCTGATTAGAGACAGAGTTACTGGGTTATTGCACAGGAATTGTTCCTGACACTGTGAGTCAGAAATCAGCTGTTCATCAGAGTGATGGCTTGTGGGAAGAAACTGCTTCTGAGTCTGTTGGTTTTGGCGTACAGAGCTCTGTAGCGCCTACCAGAGGGGAGGAGCTGGAACAGGTTGTGTCCGGGGTGAGATGGATCTGCAGTGATGTTTCCTGTCTAAGTCCTGAATGGAGGGCAGGTTGGCACCGATTATTTTTTCTGGAGTCCTGACTGTATGTTGTAGTCTGCTCTTGTCCTTTTTGGTGGCAGATCCAAACCAGAGAGTGATGGAGGTGCAGAGGACAGACTGGATGATGGCTGTGTAGAACTGGATCAGCAGCTCCTTAGGCAGGTTGAGCTTCCTGAGCTGACGCAGGAAGTACATCCTCTGCTGGGCCTTCTTGATGATGGTGTCAGTGTTGGGCTCCCACTTCAGGTCCTGGGATATAGTGGATCCCAGAAACCTGAAGGATTCCACAGCAGACACAGGGCTGTTGAGTATGGTATATACTCAACATTGAGTTCGTCTAATGTAATATTAAGTGCATGCAACAATCTCAGTGCCCATTTTGTGACGCTTTGACTAATCCATCTAATTGGTCAAAAATACTTGACCAACACTTTAGTTTTTGACAAGAAACATAAAAATGTATTGACCAAATTCCCCACAGCCTCTGTTCTACTCTTCACAGCATGAAAAAAAGTACTAAAGCTGATGATAGACGGGGCAACTTTTTGAGCAATGTTGCTGGGCAATCTTGCTGATGGCAAGTCCGACTATGTTTTGAACAGATAGCGGCGGTAGAAGGGGATTACGGTAGTAATCTTTACTCATTATCATTGACGGCAACATTGCCCAGCACCAGTGCTCTAAATGTTGCTCTGTGTAACATTAGCATAAACATGTAGACTACATTTGTTAGCATGTTATCATTAAAGCCTCCTATGTGTAGAATTTTTACATGTAAATTTTTCATCTTTCAAATCATCCTTGGCTTTTCTTTTTAGAGTAATTGGTCAGGACTAGTGAAAATTGGTGCAGTGTCAAATATTGGTTTTAACTCGGGTCAGATCTGTGTGGTAGTCTAGGGCTAGTGGTATGCAATGGTGTCCTTTATGGGAGTGGGGCATTTTTAAAATCTTTTATCACAGACAGTAGAGAGATGCAACTTCTGAACCTGAAATGGGGACATTGCAGATTGCAGGTGGTTGCATCCATCATTTGGCAGGAGTAACATTT